CTCACCATCGCCAGGTCCTCCTGGCCCGCAGCAGGATACACGTGTCTATTGCAAGGGGCACTATTATTTCAAACAAGAATTGTGGTAACACGTGGTGGCAGCAGCGAGTAGCAAGCAAGGAATGATGAAATCGCTACTGGAGCTTCAAACAGCATAAAGTAGGGGCAAATCCCACACAGCTGAGTTCTGCACATACCTTTACTCCTTCCTCCCATTCTATACTTCTGCATTCTTTGTACACATCTTTTGCAGCTCCATGTAGGACATGTGAGGGTTTTTGAGGGCATTTTATCCAGTGTGTGTACCTCAACACTTCTAATGAGCGGTTCAGATCATACATACAAACAGTATGATCCTCAGAAACACGTGAGGATGGGAGGCTGAAGCCTGCAGTGAAACGCAGAGGGAAAGTTCTACCTTGCTATAGTGGGATGTCATGTCCTTGCTTCTCTTTGTCAGATGGAGACATTTCCTCCTGAGCATTCCCTTGGGTACTGACAGCTGTTTGCCCCTTTGCTCTGGAGTCAGAGGCAATGCTACCTGTGGTAGAGAACACAGCTCTTTTTTCTAAGCGAATCCTTTCCTTGGAGTATTGAGCAGATGGCAAACATAATTAAGTTAAAATAGAGCTGTATGTAAGACAAAAATAATATTACTGAATCAGTTAAGCAAATAATAAAGGTGTTTGTTGATGGTTTTTGTTTTGTTTTGGGATCTATTTTAGAAAAACAAATACTAGTTTTCTGAACACTGCCAGCACTATGTGGTAGTGCCAGTGCCTGGAAACTTCATTTTGGAAATTAGCCTGTTTTGGGGTCATCTGAGCAGCCTAATGGTCAAACATTATAGTACATCTCTGGGCTCTAACTCAAGAAAAGGCAGAGTAAATGTCAGGACAACCTGACAAGATTAGGTTTTCTACCTCATTTTGAAACTGTGAAGATACATTTTCAAGTGGCAGACTGTAAATGACAAGGGTTTAGAAACTGCTTCATGAACAGCTCTGTAGTCTATGGAGTGGGGACAGAGCAGGTGATCTGCAGGTCATGAGTTCAAGGATGCTCCACACTGTAGGCTGCCTTTGCCCTTTAGCTAACACCCTGTGAAGTAAAAGAGGAACATCGGCATGGATTTGCAAGCACGATAGTGAATGAAGTCTATCCCCAGAAAAGCTGCCAGCCACTAACTACTGTGCTAATTCCAAACATCCATTGTCCATCATGGAATTAGTGTCATTAGTGGGATGTCCCTTTAAAGGCAGCTGAGAGGATGGGAAAACACAACAGCACAAGATTGTTTTATAAAAGGTTAACATTTGTAGGTTTTCATTGATTTTACAAAACGATTGTGGACTGCAGTAGTCATGGTCTACAAAGCCATGACAAAACTGAAGGCAGATACATTTGCACCAGCGGTGATTTCAAAGCTGTTTCCATAAGGCTGTAGCATTTGTAATAAGTGTGCGTGGAGAAAGGATGAAGGGCTGCTGAAACACTGCAACCCTGCAACTGTGGTGGTGCCAATTGGATTTACTGTGGGAAAAACAAAACAACTAGTAAAGAAGGACTTTCCACTGATGCAAGAAGTAATAGCCCAATAATGTAAAGACTGGTCAATCTTGCATTGTCATTTTCTCTTTTCCTGACTAACCATGCGTAAAAGCTTTTATTCTTGATGAACCCAAAATCCTGCCTGTGTCTTCCCATGATCTATATTAATTATTCCCACCACACACTAAAAGGGTCCTCAGCAGGATTTTATGCTAACCTTACTGGTGTTGTTCACATAAGCTGATTTGTACCTTGGCCCACGATGTACTACAGAGATGTTTATAACATTGCCAGGCTGTAAAGATGTTTCTGTAGTGCTGATGGAGAAACTCTAAACCCTAAGTATGCATAGGTCCATATATATATATATATACTGTCCATCTAATATGCAAATGGGTATTGAAATTACAGCCTGAGGTGATGCACTGAGGCCACCTGCTACTACCCTCTGCTGCAATTTAAGTCTTTAGGCTTCCTGATCGAGGCATTTATTTTGAAGTTATGCCTACAGAAAGTATGTGCAGCTTCTAGTCAAAGGGCATTGTAAGGGGGAAAGGAATGTAGGTATTTCAATGTGTCAGCTTCGAAACCCACACTTTTTGCTTAGGAAGAAGAGTTATCCTTGTGCAGAAGCCACTGAGTGAGAGGACACAGAGGAAAAGAGAAACCACATGTGACTGGTCCTGCCTGAGCCTAAAGCAATGCTCAGCCAAGGCATGAATGACGTATTTGTGGATGAGATCTTATCAGCCCCAAAGTGGAAATGGAGCCAGGAAATTAAAGATGTGCCTTTGTTTTTCTCAGGGGCATCTTTGACTTTTGCTAGCCTCCTATAGCTTCCCAGTGCCTTCTCCTAGGGATGGAGCATTGCTGTGGAGAGAAAAAAGGAGCAAGAAAGGACAGTATAAACATCATTTACATTAGCCTTGCATCTTCTGGAGATGTGTATATAGGAAAGGTAGAAAGGTGATCACAGGAAAAACATTCCCAGATTTTCTACAGTTACCTGTTGCTTGCTTTATCTTTTTAGCACGCTTAGGTTTTAGGCACATTTGGCATCACTTCCATCATGCAGTAAATTTCAGCACTGTATGTGGTTATACGCTACACAAATTTAGTTGCTGAGTGTGACAATAGTTTTACAGCACTGTTAGGAGATGGCAAGAAGCATGGTCCCATTAGCATAAGTGGCATCCGTACTTATATGGATTCAGCATTACTGAAGCTGTTTCAAAGGGACTGATTATGTGCTGTATCCTTTGGAGCAGTATTTCAGGCAGATATCCCACTGGGATGGAGCAGACATAAAAAGAAGCCCTAAATTTTATAGTGCTGTGTCAGTATTACTGCAAGAAAAATGTAGTATCTAAAAGAAGGTTATCACACATAGACAATTACCAGCTTAACAGATTTACACTGTTCTTTTACATTTATCTTGATCTGTTTGTTCCCTTCCCTTGATCATCTAATAGGTTTGTTCTTTCTCTAGAAAACAAACGTCAGCATTTTCTGTTACTTGCATGAAAAACATACTCACTTACTATGTGATCTTGGAAATAAGGTGTAGCAGTACTCTAACCACACTGAACTATACAGCTTTTACATACATATATATGTATCTTATATATATTTTTATGCATTCTATGCAGATCTAACATCTTATAAATATTTGTGTATTATCCAATAGGGAATAGTGAAATGATGAAAAATGTCATGTTTGCTAGTGTTACCGTATGTGCACGTGCAGCTGTCTGTGTACAACCTGTAAGACCTGAGGGCGGCCAAGTTTCCCTGTCCAGGTTGGGTCCCTGACTGCGACCGACAATTTACAAGGATGAAATCTAATCCAACGCCAGCTTTTGCTTCCACAGACAGAAACCCAGGCACACGTTCTGGAGAGCAGCCATGACTTCTTTATGAAGAAAGGACTCCAACAGTAGGTCCCTGCCATTCAATTACCCAAGAATTGAAGGGATTCATCCTTAAGTCACAGGGCTTAGCAGCTACAGTATTATACCCAGGTTTGTTATGGGGTACAAATCAATAGACATGACAGTAATGAAGGGCTAATAGTTTTTCAGCTAATCCTTTTTTGTCCCTTGCCACCCCCAAGTTAATTTATCCCTTCCCATACCCTGACCATGTAATCAGATGATTTTAATGTATTCCATGCTTTCAAATTAAGGTTCGGGGGGAAGGGCTGGTTCTTAACCCAAAGGAGACTAGGAATGCAAATATAAAACATAATCTCAGAAAAGACCACAGGCTCCCTTACACTGTCTTTGGGACACATACTGGAGGAGAAAATTGGGTTCTCCATTTTCTTTATTATACTGCTGTGTGAGACAGCAAAGGAAGCATTCCATATTTCTTTTGATATATTATAGAAAGTAAGCTACAGGGTGCTGTAAAACACTGTTAAATATAAATACATTTTGGGAGGATAATTAGACTTAATAAGAGTATTTAAAAACAGGCCTAAATACGTCAGTGTGAATGCAAATAGGATACTTTTTATTTTCTAAATGAAACTGATACAAGAAAAAGTATTTACTTTTTTTCTTTAATTTTGAAGAAAGTAAAGAAAAATTAAGTTTATATTACAAAAGGAATAGCAAGGATTTCCTTTTTGCTCTCCAGAGTTTTCTTAAGCCTGATGTTTTGAATCAATGAGTTGGACAGAAGCAAGATAGCTCTGGATCCAAAACGAGGAACCACATACACGTGGAATTGATGAGGTAATGAATATCACTTTCCTGCATGTTTCAAAGCAAATCAGTTGTGTCCTCCACAAAAGTGTTTGTGATGCAAACAAACACTCACTATCTCACAGCTTCTTCATGTTGTTTCAGTAGGAAGAAGAATGGCACAGGCTATTTGAAGAGCTCATTTAAGAGCATGTTTAGCAAATACTGAAGGGCTCTAGTCGAATCAGTGAGCACCCTGAGATGTCCCAGCCTCACTAACGGATGTGCATTACACACACGCATTTTGGCAGCAGCCAGCGGAAGCAGTCCCATGGCTCCCAGCCCTGTGCTGTCCTTGACCACTGCCGGTAGGATTATTTCTGTGGCTATGCAATGCGCTGGCTCATTGGACAAAGCTCAGTTAAAAATCACTCAGGGAAAAAGGGAAAACAGAATAAAAAGGTGTTTCTCTTTCAGCCAGGCTGACCAGGCAGCAGAAGCAGGTGCATGGTGGTGAGATGCTCACATCTCCAAGGAGGGGTGGGGATGCTTACACCAGATCATGTGAAGCCAAAGCCTCACTGTGAGCCTCCTCTGCTGAGGCATTGGAAAGAGTGAGGGAAGAGCTGGTAGTGCACTTCACACACCCTGGCATTTCTCAATGTGGAAGAGCACCATGCTGGCTCCAGGGATGTAGTGAATGGGGCTGTGTGATAATGGAAATGAGGGTAGTGCCAACCCCAAGAATTCAGTCAGGCGGAAGTCATGAGATTTTTAAAACCAAGAAAGGTGGTATCCTTTTTATTTCCCTGCTGAAGTCTTAGACTTCAGGGTACAGGAGTTACTGAATGTACACATTCTTAGACTTTTCAAACACAGGGACTAGAGTCTTTCTTTGATACAACCATAAACCGAGATTTTCATTCTGTTCATAAAATACATTCAGTCTTATCTTGGTGAATGTTCATTAACCAAGCACATCTGACACTTGTGTATCAGAAAAATGAAGCTGGAAGATAACTCAAACAAGATTTCGCAGGCTGCTGTTGTGGTTGCTGGCTGCCTGGGACTGGCTGTGATTCCTCGTTGCCATCCCCGGTGAGCAGCATGGTCCCCAACCTGCAGACATCCATCTACTGATGTGCCATACACACCAGTTTGGATCATGTCCTGCTCTGGAGCCTGCCAAGATGGTTATCCCCAGGAAATACTGCTTCCCCCCACTCTGCTGATTTAGTTTTGCAAACCCTCTGAAGATCAAAACCTTCCATGAATAGTAATAGTTTCAGATAATGTGTACCTCCTCTTGGCTTTGAGGTTGATCAGAGTATGCCCATACATACCATTTCTTATTCTGATGAAGCGTTTGGACAGAGCTTGAAATTCAGCTACCAGGAGATGGTTCCAGCTCGGCATAGCCGATGGTCCAAGAGAAATCAGAAGAATGATTGCATTGGGTGAAAATCTACAGCTTAGCACACGCAGACCTACCAATATATACACACAGCTCTTACATCCCGCACTGAGATATGTAGCTTTTTACTACCATAACTGAAGTACCAACTTTCTTCTTCCCTTCCATTTTCTCCTGTGTGTCCTCACACGGCACAGCCTTATTCAGGCCTATCCAAAAGTGTACTGAAAGAAAACAAACACTGATTTAGATAGATGAATAGGTGGTTCCCAGCCAAAATCATTTTACCTTGCACATTATTTCTGCTTTGCCTTGTGAGTAATTGTACATCCTTTTATGCAGGATCTGGCCATGTCAGTGCAGAGGGCATTTCTGGGTTTCCATCCTGAGAGGGCAGTGGTGCAGTGTGCTCAGCCCTGAAGATGTACATGTCTCTACCAGATGCCAGGTGAAGGTGTTTTTGTTGGATTTTCCATGGAGAGGAGCAAAGGTATTAACCAGAAAAAGGCGTCTGGAGCTACATTTCATTTGATCTGTTTGGCACAAGGAGAGGTACAGTTCTAGCTGGTCTCCACAGGTGAAGTTATTAATAATCTCTAAGAGCAGATGTGATCAGGCAGTAGAGCTGGCTTGTTGCCCCAGCCAGCTGAAATGCCAGGTTAGTGAGCGGCTGGATGCTCAGCGGGGCTGGGGAACGTGCACCAGGGGCTGAGGCAAGCTTGCTTTCCTCCACCAAGAGCTGCCAGGGAGCTGTGGGTTCAGGGCTCCTTATGCCCTGTGATGCCGATGGACATGTTTATTTTCTGGAAGTGTTAAAAGCATGGCAAGATTAATTCTCCTCCACCTCACTGGTTTGACCCCACCACTTCAGACCACTAAAATCAGCCTGGACAGGCCAGCATCTCTGACCTTCCACTGAGCAGTGCAGTAGCCATTCCCTCCTCCATCCAAACACCCAGAAGGAGGGATCCCCACATGCCTTGTCTGCCATCATTCAGGCACTCCTCCTCCACTGCAGATGTCTGCAGTTGTGCAGCCCTGCCTTTCATGGGGAGCCCACCAAAAGCTAATCCAGCCATTACCTCAACCGGTCATCACACCTGCGAGCACCCAGCGCTGCTGAGGTTACCCTTAGCTGACACCAGCCACCACTGCTGTGGCTTACCTTAGGCTTTCAGGGCATGATCTCTGGAGGAGAAAGTGCCCTTTTGTTCTGTGCTTGTACAGTGGCTACTGCTAAAATGGACTCTCTTCAGCTGAAAGTGTGCTGCTTTGATATTTATAACACATTGCAAAAGAAGCTAATGGCAGGAAATCTTAGCTATAACACTAATGCAAATAATAATTACAGTAAAATCAAAACTTTCACATATAGGCAAATGCCCACTCTAAATGACAGCAGTAAGGAAACAGATATGTTTATGGAGTATAATGGATGTGTGTGTGGGTGATTCTGAGCCATATTTCAAACGTGAGGAGGATGCTACGTGGCATTGTATCTACGGCAGGTCTAATGGCGATTCTCTGCCAAGATTCGTACTTTGGAAGGCATTCAACTTACAGCTTACTGTGATAACACAAGGTGTTTTAAATTCCACAGTAAGACTGCATGACGTCATTCTCAAAAACCTAATAAATTAATTTTAAAATATTTTATATAATTGGAAAACCTGCAATTCAGAAATAAAAATCCAACGTGTGTACAACATTTTCAATACATGTTCATGTTCTGCTTCACTTACTAATAGGCATGTGTGCATATGCAAGGTCTTTCCCTAAATCAACACTGCACAGACCAGTTGCCTGGTGCAGAACCATTGCCAAATATGTCACATGGAACTTTTCCAGGTTTTCAATTTAATTATGTTCTTTCAGTGTATATAAATTTGAATTTCCAAAATTCACCTCATGGCAATGTAGAACTCTACAGTCAGTACTTTAGGGAATATTTGGTGTTAATGTCTTCAGTAAAAAAGCTTTAATTACATTCATCTCAGTGCTGGCTGATCTGGAGGTTATTCTCTCCCCTTTTCCAAAGTAAGTATAATACTTTGCTATTTAAAAAATGAAAATACAGGTTATGCAGCATGCCCTACAAGATATGAAACTCAGGCTGTGGCAGGTGAGGAGGGAGAGCATGCTCACCAGTACAGATCCTGAGCACAGAACACACCGCCTGCAGCCTACTCACACTCAGGGCTCAATCTTTTCACCTACTAAAAGAAACCAAACACTGATTTCAGCGCTGTAGTGCTAGACCCAGCTATGAAAGAGCTGAAACACCTTTCTGATTTCATTTGTCATGGCATATGTTTTAGGGGAGGATGGGGGGAGCAAGTTATCAAATCGTAATTAATAACAAAGTTGTAGGTGGTTTAATGCATTCTCTCTGTGTATGTCAGCTGTCAGGTCCCAAGCAGCTGTAAAATCAGTGCTAGTGAAAACCCTCAAACTAAAATAACCATGTATTAGATTCTCTAACTGCTGCAACTGACAAGAGTACTAACCCTTACCTGTAAGACTCCATTTCTCTTTAATATTTTATATGATGGAAATCCATTAGCATGAGAATGAAGACAACATAATGAAAACAGGAATAAGGTTGTCTATTAAGATGCAAAGATAAATGCAAACTGTTTGTTTCATTCTCTCTTCTTTGAGTTACAAATTTCTTGCTGTCATGAAAAACCTTTTCATCTTCCCTGAAATTCATCACTGTGGCACTCAGTTGACAAATATATTCATCACAATAGCGTATTTCCCAGAGCTTCCTGTCTTCTGCCTCAAGCACCTTATTCCTTTAGATAATAAAGTATTTATCTAAGAGTTTACATACATATCAGTGTGTCTCTGGGCTTTCATACACCATCAAAGTACTCAAAAAAATCATACTTCAAGAAAAAAGCAGCTTTAAAGACAGATATTCTTCATGACAGAACCTTTATTCCACGATGGATGTTGAGTGATTATCCTTCCACTGTGTTTGGACAATTAAATGCTCTCTGCTGTAGCAATTAAGGAGCCTGTAAGTGTGTTTTATGAACTTCAAAGTTTTATCTGAGGTTCTCAATGTGTGGCAATGCAGCTGCATCACCACATTTGTACGTGTAGAAGAAGGCAGTAAGTTATTACTGGGTGAGAACACGTGTCTAGTTGCTGCATTTTGGTTTACATTGCAGTCTTGAGGGGAGCAAGAGCTGAGAAAGTTGACTATGACTGTGGTATTCATAAATCAAGCTTTTCTTCATCTTCACCTTCTATACAGGACACGCTGTCTCCATTTTTGTGGTGCTTACTCCTTCAGTACTGGGTGTGGAAAGGGAACATGTGAAAGCAGAATCCCCAACTGTCCTCCTTTCCGAGCTCATGTTGTGTTACATGTAGCTAACTTTCAAAAGTCTCATTTCAGCTGGAATCTGGCCATTTGAAAAAATGTTTTTTTCCTCCATTCCCACACCCCCTGCCCTGGTGACCAATTCAGTGCTTTGTAACCAAATATGTAGACTATATGTATATGTAGACTATACACTGGAAGCACTTTGCCACAGCTGAAACCAGACCACTCTGAAATCAAAAAAACCCAGAGGATATAGTCAATAAGGCATCTCTAGATCATCAGGACAGGAAAGTTATGTACGCAGACATCTTCTCTAAACGAGCAGCTGGCTGGAATATTAGAATTACATCATCCATCATCAGAAAGTAAGGAGTTTGAATGCTCAGAAACTTATCATTCAGGAGTCAGGAACTTTATTTTGCTTCTCACATGAAAATAAACATTTCCACTTTAATACTCCCACTACTTCCACTTACTATTCCATTTAATACTTTGTTAGAGTGCTGGCAAAATGCATCTTTAATAAAATACCCCTGAGTAGCGTGGCACATAAAACCTCCCAAGACTTTTACTGTGCATTAAGCTTTTGGCTAGCCAAGATGACTGACCAAAACCCATTCCTTTCTCTGCTTCACTTTGGGTGTTACTCTTTGAAGAACTGGCCAAGCCAGAAAAAATAATTTGCAAGATCACATCCCACTGGAGTTTCCAGTTAGTCAATACTGTCCACTCTGAGGTGCAATGAGCACGGCAAAAAAGACATTTTCAGACATTTGTTTATTTATATAGACAAACCAGAATATTTTGTTATTAAAATATTGATAAAATATTTTGTTCCTATAAAGAAATATGTAACAAAACATTCTGTTCTATAAACAGTAATTCAAGGTAAGCTGATGTGACAATGTGTAAGGGTGCTGATATTCACAGTGTTTTAAGAAGGAGTCATTTTGGGATGTATTAATACTAGAAAATATGTTAATTATGTCTTTTCTTTTTCTTTCCTTGTCTCAGTTAAGATTAAAGGTACAATTTATTTCTTTATTTGATTCATTTTGGCTTTACAGCTACTCAGAATTAATAGTCTTTTCTGATTGCATTTGCAAAGGTGTACAACCTCTTTTCAGTAATGTTTGGACAGTTTGAGAGTTACTAAAACAATAAATCATAACAAGATTTGGGATAGAATTCTCCTCTGTGTAAAAGTTAGCACAGAGCTCAGGGTCCTTTATACCTTCTTTATGCCTCTTTTAGACTTTCTATTATCCTGCTGAAGTAGATAAACTTATTATTTTTGGGGGGGGTGGGGGAGTTGCATATTATTTGCACTAGAAGAAATGTGATGTGAACAAGATTTCTAATATGCAAGTCAAAATGCTGCCTACATAAAAGGCACCTTTGTATCCCCTTGATTTATCATTTACTATTAATACTGGCAATTATGCAGCATAAAGACACCCCAAACATCTTGCAAACACCCCACAACATTTTTTCCATCAAAATGCAAGTGATATAATTTCTTACCATTGTTGCCTCACTCTATATATTCTTAATTTTCTGTTTTCTCTCACTTCTACTTGAATATTCCTTAGAACCTGACTGATAGGAACTCAGAGCTGTTTGGCAGGTCCCTGCTGCTTGCTGGTTGTGCGAAGGTCCCTCATATTTGCCCCACCCTCCTCCTGATATTAAATTTGTTCTTTGAATAAGAAGGGTACATGAGTTTCTCTCCTCCTGTCTGCTCCGAACAGGGACAAAATGGGTCAAATGAGCATCCATAAACATAATGGTGCTTTAGAAATGCCAATCGATGGTATTTGATTGATGATGCCATTATGATATTCGATATATTTCCATTACAATCAGTAACTAAGAACAGCCAATTGTTCAAAATGGGAGAGAATTACAAAACCTTGACTATTTTAGATTTTGATGGATAAAATGTGTCACAGCATGTGTAAAAACCTTTATGGTGACGGTCCCAGCATACCATTATGAGTGTGGCTTCCACTGGAAGACTAGCTCCCAACTAATGCTGATTCAGGGTCATAAAGATAAAAGCATCCCTCCATAGGAAATGATAACATTATATTGATTTCAGACACCTTGTGTTCTGTGTAAAAATAAACTCAGCCCTGCTTTGATTTAGGAATACAGGACAGTGTTTGGAGCAGGGCAGAGGCAATCAGGTCCCTGGATTCTATTCCTAGCGCAGCAGTGACTCATGCCATGACCTTGTGTAAGCCTGTTGACCTCTGTGCCTGTTTAGCCATGTATAAGAATGAAAAAAGAATAAATACCTGCTTCACTGGGGTTGAAAACCTGTTTAGAAAGAGCTACATATACAGACATTCCTGGCAAACTAAATAAATCATGAGCATGTTACAGATGAGCTCACAAAACATCTCCAGTATGAGGTTTCCATGGTCTCTTCAATTTGATCCCATTATGTATTTCAGTGCAGCACATATGGTCCTATCTTTAAAACACTGGGTAGTGTTACATGCTGTGGAATAAGTTACAGTGTGAAGATTTAACATTAATGGGGAGCCATGCAGTTAAAGTCTGTGGTGCTCTGCTGAAAGTGTGCTCTAAGGAGAGCAGTGTTGCTAATAATTTACAAACTGTCCCATTTAAAGTGTAGTGGAAATTTCTGACCTTGGCAAATGTATATTCTGAACATTATCAGAAATGCTGTGGCTTTCACTGTTTGTCTGGCAATACTCACAGAATTCTGTGAAACATTCTGTTACTGTTCCTATAGGCTGCCTCAGGAGTTACCGACCTTCTAACACAGTTGCATTTAAAAGCAACATAGGTGAAGTTACCCTGGAATATAGTGTAATAAATAAAGAAAAAGCACTCACTTCCTTACAGCAGAGTTACATTTAACTTTTGAGGTTTCATTTCTGTTATTTCTATCACTCTGCAGTCAAATAATGCACTTTGTGGTACATTAGCAGATGATATTGTTGGTGATGTCATATTTTTTCCAGTTGTAATAACCACTTGGACTGTTCTATGCAGAATAAGAACAGGACAATAATTTATATTGTGACTTGAGAAAAAGTATCCACATGCAACTGATTGTTATAATGGAAACAACACCCAGAAAATGTCCTACTTCTGTGTTATTCACCTTCATGTATGTAATCCACCTCAGCAACCCCTCGTGCTTAAACTGAAACAGGATCTCCAGGATCAGCATTATAACCTCCATGTTTTACCCCTTAAACTTCTTCATATTGTTTTCATACTTCATTACTCACGGGGAGGGGGAAACAAAACCAACAATGATCTGGGGTCAGAGTTCAGTTGGTTGATGACATATTTAAGTACATATGGTAAAACCAACAGGCCTGTCCTTAGCTATAGTCTGAGTATTGGAGTAAGGAGCTGGGAAACCAATACAATAAAGATGCACCCTCCCCTAGTGAAACAGTGCCTGGCTCCAAGCTGCAACAGGTGCTAGTGATTCCATGTACCACGTTGTGATGTGATGACTTGTTGCATACAAAAACTGCTTTAACTAGCAGGTGAACTGAAAGTAGATGTTTGTTGTTTTTTCTGAGCAACTCCATAAAGTGAGAAGCTTCACAGGAGGAAGCAGAACTTTATCAGCTCCCAAACATTCCCTTCACTTTGAAAAGGAGCAGTCTAATTTGTGGACAGACAAAAACAATGTTTCC